AAATATATTGATAACGCTTAAGCTCGTCAATGTCCAAACAAACAAAAAAAAAAACAAAAAATAGAAAATCGGTTGACAAACCGAGGAGCAAAAGGTACAGATCTGTTTTGGCTTTTTGTCTTTGCCTACCTATTTATATTTAGAATTTAGATAAACATATAAAATTAATTTGCTGATAGATAATGACAGAGCCTCAAACGCTAAGTCTAAAAGTATAAAATTTTGCACAAAAATTCCTTGTATTACGAGAATTATTAATAAAGACCTATAAAAAATTCATGTCCTTTTAAAGAAAAGTAATGTGAAGTAGGTAAAACACAAAATGTAGACAACGCCAATTTAATTCCATCGATACTTTTTCATCTCAATGAAAAAACCTCTGCGGGATTCGCTCAGCCGCATCACTTAACTATGTTTTCTGTTTAACTTAATCTGTCTGTGGCATCATAGCTCCCAAGCGGATGTACCGATTTTGATAATTTTTCTTTTGTGTTTTATAGACATTGTAATTAAAAGAAATATATTCCGACGTATTTAGTGGTTCATAAAAACTTTTTTTCTATGGTAGTAATAAAATGGGATTATAATTTTTACGTTTTAAAGATTCATTTTGTTGAGAATTTCATAACATAGAGGAACGCAACGATTCGTCTAGACGAGGATAAACATTCGTATGATTGCTAAAAAATTATTCGTATAGTACGGGAAATCAATCTGGGAACGCAAATATGTATATTTTTAAGTAATTATATCATATTTTGACATAATATGGTAAACAGCAATAAAACACGAGACCTTTGTTTAAGAAATTGATTGGTTGATAATTATAAATTAAAAATTTAAGAAACCCCCTACGCATTAATTGTCATTTAACGATTACACTGGTACGCGTGAAGCACTTAATCGAGTAATCATACGCCAAAATGCCTTACCTACATCATTTTGGAAAAGAGCTGATACTCTTACACTGCTGGACCGATATTGCCCAACAATGCTAAGAACTACCGCAAGGAAACTGGCTTTCAAATGAAAAAAAACCACATCGAAATCGGTCCAACCGTTTGAGAGCTACGATGCCACAGATAGACAGACATCGATGTCAAACTTATAACACCCCTCTTTTTGCGTCGGGGGTTAAAACACACACTGCCCTACAACCATTCATAAAACTAATAAAAACTTATTTGGATTAAATTAATTAGCAATATTTTAATATTGTAGAATATTTTATTTATATTTCGTATTCCAAGTAAATATCACGCGAAGGCCCTCGCCCGAAGAAACCAATTCATTTCAGCTCATATCCTGTTATCGTCAGTTTATCATACACCCGGGGCGGCCGTTTCAAGATTATTTTAAGCTTCAACCCTTAACGTTTGCTTAAATTGTCATTGTAGTGGGTAGTTTATATGAAGATATAGGTATATCTAATGTTCGAGTTTAATATAAATTTGTCAGTCAAGATATATAGATATAGACAAGCTTTCACTAAAGGTTTAGATCTTACGCATGAACAAATTCGTTCATGATCTTACGGTATTTAAATTAAGACATTAACTACGATTATGATATAAAGTATAACTAGTATTGCCCGCGGCTCCGCCCGCGTTCAGATGACCAAAAACCAAATTCTTAGGTTTTACATATTAGTATACTCTTACAATGCAGTTTTTGTATTTTTTCTCAGAAATAAGATATTTTCTCGTAGCAAAAAGTATCCTATATGTTGACCCGGATAACCAGCTATCATCATGCCAAATTTCATCAAAATCTGTCCAGTGGTTTTTTCGTGATGCGGTAACAGACAGACAGACAGACAAATATTCTAAAAACTATAGATTCGGACCCTGTAACGATAATAATGTCTATTTCAATTAGATTTTCCAAAAAATATCAAATGTACAGATTCGACTTAGTTACAATTTTATAATATGTATAGATTGCTTTAAAGTATTGTTGGAATTAGTTTTCTATAATTTGCATTGAAGGCAGTGGCAGCCCAGTGGTACCGCACTCGCTTGGAAAACCGAATGAAGCGAGTTCGAATCCCGGGTCTCGCACCTCTGATTTTATGCTTGATTCATTTCCAACATAATTACCACTTGTTTTACGGTAAAGGAAAACATCATGATAAAAATCTGCATGTATGAGAGAACCTAGCAAGTTTTTGAAAGATATTTGAAGTCTGCCAACCTGCACTTGGCCAGCGTGGTGGACTATCGGCCTGATCCCCACTTGTATTGAAGGGAGGCCCGTGCCCAGCAGTGGGACGCTATATATATATAGACGTCATACATATGTAGATAGATACATCCATACAACATTGAAATCTATTTTTAATTTCTTTTTCGTTTCATCTGTTTAATGGTTGTATACAAATATATAAGTAAAAAATAATCAATACAACTTAAAAGGTATAAAGTAAATAAATATATTATGTAACTAAATTTCAAAATTACAATTACACTATCCAATAACATTTTCATTGGGCAATCTTGGGAATGGTCAAACGTCTTGTAATCCCTTAGTAGGCATCTCCTTTATAATTTTCTTTCACCCCAGGCGTCGCAAGAATGCAAAGAAAGAGCCCTCATTCCATGTAAGGGTAAAAGAAACCCTTTGTGGCAATATTAAAAATTGAGACGTTGATCGATACTCTGAAAATTTTAATTATTTACAGATAAAAAAGAAATTATACAATATATATATATATATATATATATATATATATATATATATATATATATATATATATATATATATATATATATATAATAGAAAAATATTTACATATTGAATAGTTAATAATTAATTATGACTATCATTTTATTCATAGCCAAGGTACGAATAGGGTAAGGTTAAGGATGGAGCCATATATCTTGAAAATTAAGTATGTACCTATATAAAAAAGATGTGTACGTATGATCCTTATGGACGCAAAACGGCTGGAGCGATTTTGATGAAATTTTCAGGCAATTTTCAGATGAGCACAAGGGCTGATTCTGTGAAGCCACGAGACTAGTACTGCTAGTATACCTATAGTATATCTTGAAATCCTCACATTGTTCTTAAAAAAGTTAATGCATGTTACTTGCACCTATAAATATATACATCATCTTCTAAAATATATAAATAAAAGGATATTTGTTTGTTTATTTGGTGGCATCTTCTATTAGCCCCCAATGCCATATAAATAGTTCATTTGATTTACAACGCTTATACTTCGAAATCCATTTGCAATTCGGTCCCGCAACTATTACAAATAAAAGGAATTCCTCGTACAAAAGGGAAACCTGGGGAAAAGAAATAAAAAACATAATAATTCAAAATGGCGTCTGGCCACTTAATAACAGGCTGACACCATTGGGAAATATAATTTAATTTTTCTCTCTACCCGTCCTTATTGCTCTAGTGTACAATGTAATTGCAGATCCCTGTCTAGCTTTCTCAACTGAGCTCTCCCGCCTCCTTCACAAAGCTTCCGCTTGGTTCTCCGTCACCCGGTGTTCCGCACAAGCAATAATTGTGATATTTTGTACTAAATCACTTATCACTTTACATTTACTTCATGATTCTATATATAAGAGTGATATTATATCTTACGTGATAGAAAAATGATTCAGTTTGATTTTAGCTAAAACACCTCAGTTAAAAATGGAGTTCTTAAAAACCTAGAAAAGTGATGCGTCTCGTAGCTTTGCCCTAAAAATATGCTTCAACACTCTATTCCATCATACCATTCCCATAATCAAACCCGCGGTCTCTACTTATTATTATATATCCAAAAGGAAGGTAGATAATTGATAATTGGTGAAATCGTTTAAGCTATTAAAGTTGAGATTTTTAAAAACAAATAACTTATAACTTGTAGGTACATGTAATAACATATAAAAATTTATAATGTAACATGTGAAAATAATTAAAACAATAAGACGTACAAAATGTTATACCCTACAAAAAATAAAAGCTTCAAAGATAAATATGTATATTTTTTTGTTAGATTTATGTACCAAAACAAGTAATGGCAAAAACTGTAGTTACGGGGGCAAGAGGCAGGTGTGGGCATAATATTCTAATGTCGGTAAGAGCGACCCGCCATCCATAATAATATAACCCCTCCAGGTCTCACCCAGTGCAGATAACGCAAAATTTGTCATGACATCTCTAGTTTCGTATTCTGTAAAATTAGGTATTTGATTCTTATAAATGTCGTCCAAAATTTTAAAAGTACTCAAATAATATTTATATTTTGATGTAATTGTAGTAATATTGTAATTAAAAATTAGATAACTTATTAATATTTGTTTTTATTTATTTTTATTATTTATGTTAAAATTTATGAAATTTAAATTATTATGTAATATTAAAATATCCATGACAATAAAATTAAATTAGTTAAATATATATTATAGAAATCTATATAATAGCGCCATCTTGCGGATTTATATTAAAATATGTGGTGTTAGCTCGTAAGTGATAAGTTAGTTCACTAATGTTCCAAGAGATGGCACTTTTCTATTTGTAGTTTACAATTCAGTTTGTACTTAATACGAAAGATAGAGCTATTCGCAAAAATAATTTGAATTTTGTATGATTATTATTATCTTCATAATTATTATTATTGTAAAACATTATAATTAATAGTTATTTAGTTAATAATTAGGTTGATTGAAAATTAGTTCATTGTTTTTAGCTACAATAAATATATTTTTTAATAACTAATAAATAATAATAATGGTCCAAAATGTAAGGTAAAATATTAACACAACTCACGAACTGATATTTTTACATTAATTATAATAATATTATATAAAACTAAAACGGCATCCTTGAAAAAAAACATATAGCGCCATCTACAATATTTAGAAGGAACCACATGAAATGGGATATTTCCTTAAGTGAATCCTACTACCAGGAATAAGTAATTTGTTCATTTAAATTTCAATAGGTGACGTTTTATATATTTTGAAACAAAAATATATATAAATGAGTACAGTGATATGCCAGCGTAAGTTTACCTAGTATTACTTATATGATTTGTGTAGTGTGTACCTACATTCCCATTATTTTCGCTCCGTTTCGGAAGAATTTTCAAGTTCCGCTGTTATAAATTGCTCGAAGCTCAAGGACAGCGTTCACACCAGCGACATCTATCTTCTATAGAAGACCCCGAATTAAGGAGGTCATTTTTTAATCTATTATCCCTAAAACTATTGAACCGATTCGAACAATTACTTATTTCACCATTACAATGCTACATAATCCAAAGGCAACATATATTTTTATTTTACTAACAAAAACATTTCAGACTGAAATTACTTATTTTTAAACCGGATTAACTATTATTCTTTAAACCGGATTTAATATTTATTCCCTTTTTTAATTAACAAAGAAAATGATAACAAAAACACTAGAAATATCATTTATTTGCTTACAAATTTTATCACATCTATCGCAAATAGCATAATGTTTGACTAAGTACTTATTAACAAGCGTCTCAAATCTTCTTTTATTATTTGTTAATTAGATAAAGAAATCCGACTCTATATAACTTTTATCTTACTCTTATTGATGCTGATTTAAGTGCGATACGGTATTATTTGCTAGAAAATCTTCGTCACGTACGGTCCTAATTGTTGTAATACTCGTAGCATTTAAAATTAAAATTTAATATTAAAATGAGAAATTCAACGGTACCAGTTCCGCTTATTTACTTTAACGTAGCTGAATATTGTTTATTTGGCATTATTTTAGGTGTTGTTATTGGATTGATTGTATACTACTTATTTGTTAGTAAAAAATATAATACTGTGAGTGGTTTTTTGTTTGGTGGCAAGAATATGTCTGTTATTTCTATTTCCTTAGCGTTAATTGCCAGGTAAGTTTTAAAAAACTATATTTTATTATATATAATATGTTATATTTAAATGAAATATTTATTTTAAAAATTATATTTAAATTAGAATTAGATCTTGTTAGTAATTGTAATAATAAAACTCATATTAGGTACTCATTTGATTCGCTCTTGTTGAGACTTATTTCGTTATCTAAAGATCATAATCTATATTCCAATATTAGTTTGGTATTTACCTACTATTTAGTAATATAAATGTTACGTTAGGTTTATTTTTATTATGACTTTCAACTCTATCAAAATTATAGACAACTAAAATAACTTTTGAAAGTATTTTATTTTAGTGGGTATTATTATGTATCTACTAGTTTGAATTGGTATTGTTTTTCAAATTTTAATGAACAAACATTAAAGGCGAAGATAGAAATAATAAAAAAATAAAAAGTACACTCTATTTGAGAATCGTCGTCCTATTTCAAAGTCGGTAAATTGTCGGTCTCATCATCATCATATAATCAGTAGGTACACCGTCAATACCTAAATGTTAAAATAAAATGCAGCCTAAATGTTATCTAATTTTGTAAAACAAAAGCTCGACTTGGCGGGGGCACTGCCGTGCCCCCCGATACCTTTAACTACCTACATATAAATGTCACATTAATTTTTAAAATATTATGTTAAATATCATTTACTTTTGTTTTTTTTTTCTATCATCCTATAGTTACCTAGTTTAGATTTGACTTTGGGATGTCTTGCTTGCGTTTTATTGTCGGAAAATAAGGTAGAGTAGAGAGTTCGTATAAAGCTGAAACCGGTTATATCGTTTGATCGCGTTAATTTGTGAAAATTACGTTTTGTATAGTAGGTGTGCTTTGCTTTGTATCGACTGGCACCGACTTCGAAAATATATGATTAGGAATGTATTTAATAGGTAGGCTTTAATTACTTAGCCAAAGCACACCGACTTCGAAAATATTTGATTAGGTATGTCTAGTAAATGAAAACTACCAATCAGTTATTTTTTACTTTTTAGTGCTTTTGTTTGAATACGGTTTTTATTTTTTTGTTAAAAAGTTTTTAATTTTCCCTTTTTAGTGTAGACAGTAGTAGCAAAGTAAGAATTCTAACGTGTTCGGCTTGTCAAATCAAACAAAATAAGCCCAAACTCAAAGTATCTACTATTAGCTGTTGAAGAGTTCCACCTATCCACCTTCTGACCTCACCATCCGATCTGGTCAACAATACCGAACCTCTGTACTATCAACGGAAATAGAAATACTTGCAAAGTTTCAAGTCAATATGACAATTAGATGTAGGTTAAATTCATCATTAGCTATTTTTCCGCCCTTAGGGGTAGTATTTTTTTTTGAAATTTTAATGAGACCAATCTGGAAGTATACACTTTCAAACAACACAAAAATTGTCCAAATCGGTTAATAAATGACAGAGTTCTGAGGTAACTAACATAAAAAAAAATACAGTCAAATTGAGAACCTCCTCCTTTTTGAAGTCGGTTGAAAATTGGCGTAAAGTGTCGAGTATAAATAGAAATATGAGACATATATTATGTACATACTTATATTTTTTAAAATGTAATAAAATATTTATTTTCAGTCATTTGACAAGCATAACCCTACTCGGCGTGCCAGTCGAGATATATCTCCGCGGCACTCAATACTGGGCTTCGGCACTGTCACTTATCTTAGTCACTTTTCTAACAGCTGTTATATATTTGCCAGGTAAATATTTTTTGAATGTTTCATAAACGTTTATTATGTCACTATCAACTAGCCAAAAGTGTACAGTGACATGAAATAAACGAATAATAACTTTATTTAATACTAGCATTGCCCGCGGCTCCGCCCGCGTTCAGATGACCAAAAACCTAATTCTTAGGTTTTACATATTATTATACTCTTACAATACAGTTTTTGTGTTTTTGTATTTTTTTCTCGGAAATGTGATATTTAAACGCGGTAAAAAGTAGCCTATATTATGTTGACCCGGATAACCAGCTATCATCATACTAAATTTCATCAAAATTTGTCCAGTGGTTTTCTCGTGATGATGGTAACAGACAGACAGACAGAAAGACAAAATTTCTAAAAACTATAGATTCGGACTCTGTATCGATAACCATGTCTATTTCAATTAGATTTCCCAAAAAATATTTAATGTACAGATTTGACTTAGTTATAACTATTCCGTGAGAAACAAATCTTTTTAAACTCTATATACAAAGAAGATAAACATGTCTTAAGATTGTTAGGAGTAATCAATAACCTTTAGTCAATTTCAGGCAGTAGAAGTGCGTAACATCGAAATCTCTCTATAATCTGATAGTAAAACTGTAAATTGTAATAATTTTTCATCAGGTCCTTTCAGTATGCTATCATTACTATTTACAATATTTTTGATTAGTTAGTGACAGAGAGGCGAGCAGAAAAACCTGGTTCATTTCATCTGGATGAAATTTGATACAGAGATAGATATGGTATAGGTATATAGTCTGGAATAGCACATAGGTTACTTTTTATTCGGGAAAAATGTTCGGTTCTCGTAGAATAGATTTGTGTTTTATATTTGTCACTTTAGACTTTAGATCATTCCATTAACATTTACCTTAAGATAACATTCTTTTGGAACAAAAATTTTTATGCTTAGATTACACGACAACTGCTGTATCTTGCAAGCACTAACCATAGCCTGTAATTTAAAGGTGTCTTACATACGTATTGACGGCATATTCTCGTTTTGATCAGGTGCGCTGTGCGTCCTTAGGCGCTTAATACTAGCCGATTAATACTTCAGGTAATATTCTGTGTACTAAATTTCATGCAAATCCTTTTAGCCGTTTCAGCGTGACGGAGAAACAAACATACACCCACAAACACATCATATTTATAATAGTACAATTAGTTCAATTAGTACCTATAGTTACAGTTAAATTATTACGTTTCCAACGACTTATATTATTGTTTTTTTCTGTCCTTAACTTATGGTCACATTTTTTCAGTTTTCCACAGACTTCAGCTATCATCTAGTTTTGAATATTTAGAAATAAGATTCTCCACTCACACGCGGACAGTGGCAGCCGTTTTGTTCGTAGTGAGTAAACTCATGCTGCTACCAATAGTGCCTTATGTACCACTTTTAGCATTTAGACTTGGTGAGATATTTGTTTAATGCATTTACTGAAATGTTCTTTATCATTGCATAATTATTTATTATAATATTCTTATTAATTATTTTTGTGAATTAAAAAAGTGGCTAGTCAAAAGCTTAAGACTACAATGGCAAAAATACGTTTGTAAAAAAAGCTCTCTATTTGTATCTAACTTTTTGTCATGAAGAGAAAATAACATAATGAATATAATTTCATGTTATAACGTATTATGTATATATATATATATTATATTTATATATATATATAGTAATAATTATTAAAATATATTTTTCCTAAAGAAAAAAAACCGATTGAAAATTAAATAAAAGTTGCAAATTTTTACTAACATCTATGAATATATTTTTATTACTATATATACCTACCATCTACGGCTGATTTTTATTAAGATTACCAATAGAAACTTTTTTATCTTTCAGTTACTAATTCACAGGCAAGCCGTATTACAGCCGTAATTTGCGTCGCTTGCTCTACATTAATAGCCGTGGGAGGTTTGCGAGCTATAGTCAGTATTGGCATAATTACCACTTTTTTAGCATTTGCTGGTACAGCATTGCCAAGCGGCTTGGCATTGTTGCCAATGGGCTTCAAAAGAATGTGGGAAATCGCTCATCATGGAAGTAGATTAGTTTTTTACGAGTAAGGTTCAACATTAAACTATAGTTTTAACTTTTCAAGCCACCATTAAGAAAATTATAACCCATGATTTTTGGTGCAGATATATCTAAAATAGTAGAGAAAGAAAAAAATATATCTACATATATTACTTTCCAAAAATAAATTAGAAAAAAGGTTATTTAAAAATAAAGAAATAAAATTTGTTTTAGTCCTGATCCTGAACTCTCACATCACACCTCCTTCTTTGTAGTTACATTAGCTTTGAGCACAAATTGGCTGTGGAAGATAGCTCTCAGTCAATCCTCTCTACAAAAACTTTTAGCAGTTCCCACAATTAATAAAGCCAGAATATGTTTGGCAATCTCGTGCGTGGGAATCATACTTATGAAGCTGTTATCTTGCTTTCTGGGATTGGTCATGTATGCTTGGTTCGCTGGATGCGATCCATTACTCACTGGTCAGATTAAGAAACATGAACAGGTTAGTCATTTGCAGTAGTATATCTCTTTCTTTCTTCAATTTTTGGCTTAAAAGACAAAAGGGCATCGACATTCTCTTTGGACTATTCCTTGGCCGAAAAAAAAGGAGGGTGCTAAGATTTAGTCCATTGTATTTTTATTTATGGGTATCAAATAAAAATACAATAGACTAAATAATCTTTTCGACTCGTCGTCCTTTTGGAGATAATATGAGTTGGAAAGTCATTAGTGTAATGTTTATCTTAAGGCGTTTAATTTTAATCCGAAGGCTTTAGAAGTGTAGACATTGCTTCCACTCAGAATTATGGCATAGATTATTTTCTCAAAATGTACCGGACGAAAGTATTAAAAATTACGTAAGATGACTAAATGTTGAACCTATGGCGTCTATAATAAATTTTAAAAGATATATTAAGATAAAAAAATTATGAAAGAAGAGGGCATAGTCTAAGATGCTGTATGAAACTAGTCTTATACCCATACCCAACGTAAAAATAGAATCAACAATTGCTGCGTAACTATGTGTTAGTGACCTTCCGCTCCTCTCCGTTTTATAGATGTAAATTTTAAAATGTCAAAGACCCGGCTGCGTTAAAAACGAATTCAAAAGGTGTTGATGAAGGAACATAGTATTATGTATTCAGTCTAGTAATTACGAGGGAACATAAGATCGGACATACATACGTACAGATCAAAAATATAACCCACCTTTAGACTTCGCTGTAGTCTTGTAAAAATATTAAAGTCAACTTTATTCTACTTTTTTTACAATTATAAAGGTTTATTAAAGTTGGAAGCTAACAAAAAAATAATATTTATATAAAACCTGTGTATAACAATATAATCTACTTGAGATTAAAATCGTCTAGCGTTCTACTATTACAGCTATTGTTTATTTATACGATAACAATTTATTATGCCTATGCAATTATTTATTTATTAACAAAAGCAGTCATTATTTAGCTATTTTCTTTTCAGCTGGTACCTCATTTTCTGAATAACCTGTCGACGATGTTTCCAGGAATATTTGGTATTTTTATCATATCTATCTTTAGTGCAACGGCTGGGTACGTACTTTTAAATATTATAAATTACACTTACTCTCGCTTCGCTCGGGTTCGTCCCTAGCTTGATTCCCCATACAATTTTCCCCATTTTCACCCCTTAAGGGATGATTTCTGGGATAAAAAGTATCCTATGTCCTTCCCAGGGTCTCAAACTATCTTCTTACCAAATCTCATCTAACTCGGTTCAGTAGATACATAGATTACCCCCTACAACGTCACAAACTCACAATCTCACAAACTTTTACACCCATAATTTTTTTTTAAATTCTTAATGGTAACCATAATTTTTTTTCTGAAAATCGGTTAAAAATTGTCGGAAAAATTGCGTAACATACCCATACGAAAAGTACAACCGAATTCAATAGGTACTTCCTTTTTGAAGTCATACCTGCCTTTTGAAGCCATAACTACCTTTTTGAAGGTGATCAAAAAAAGCCAATTGAACAGTTTTGTTAAAAGGAGTTATTAGGAATTTGAATTGTTTGTCTGTCTGTTTAATTCTATAATATACAGTTTTTATTGCACTATTATAATATAAAGATAGACGAGCAGCGAGCATCATGTTATAAGGCTTTTTAGACTAAGAAATACACGCACAGGTGATGTTGCAGATAATAATTAGTTTAGATTTGATTTGTAGTTTAATGACTCGACGTGTGTTTGCTCTACGAGATAACTTTGTTGCTACAGATGTATTGCGTCTATCATAAATTCAATATCAGGGGTTGTGTTTGAAGAATTTATAAGACCATGGATGCCTCAAAGTACTAATGAACTGGCGTGCTGCAGAATCATGAAAGTGAGTTTGGAAATAGAAAACCTTATAATATATTTATACACAGAAAAATGCTGAAATTTTTGATAAAATTTACGATTAGAAATATGGTACTTACATTTTTACGCTTTCGTTTTATTGCTTAATTATTTAATAAGTCAATATCGGGACTTGAAATATGATCCATATCTTATTTAATCCGTAGTTTAGTCTTCTGTATCTATATTTTTTCAACAAACATTATTATTAATTATACAACAAATATTATTAATTATAATTTCTCAATTTAAAAATTACTTGAAAATTGATTTTTTATAACAACTCTGTTTCAGTTCCTTTGTATTTTGGTTGGTTTATATTGTATATGTGTTGTATGGCTAGCTCGGGAACTAGACCGACTTCAACACGTAGCTTCAGGGGTAACAGGCGTTACTGCTGGTACTCTATTAGGTCTCTTCACATTAGGCATCGTCTTCTCAAGGGCTAATTGTTCTGTAAGTAAATTTAACATTAGTATTTTATTTAGTAACGTTTTTAATTTATTTAATAAAAATAGCTAATTATTTTTAAATTATTTTGAAATGCTCATTTAACGCCATCTGTTGGCAAGATTAGATGTTACTTCCTTTTGCATATAGATAAGTAGTATTATAGTAGTACATGTAATGAATAACAGATGGCGCTTCATAAGTTAATGACGAAATAAAAATATTTCTCTTAAACGCAATAATTCTTAAGACTACTACTTAAACTTATAACTATTTATTTAGATATAAATACTTTAAGCATTTTCTTCAATGAAATGAAGCAATTTCTCTTGAAACGAAATGTATTCATCGCTTTATATATATAAAGGAAATGCCTCAGTAAGATGCAATCGGCCCTAAGGGACTTATCTAAGTGCTTACCCCAGATATTCCTTTAGCATCCCATTTAGGTTAAACTAACGCTTTCCGTACATTAAATCTACGCTCGTTATTTCTTCGACTTTACCTATGTGTTTCAGTTCGTTTTAACCGACTTCAAAAAATAATGATTTCCTTAAAACACTATTATATTTTTTAATGACCTCATTTTATTGTTATAAACGCACCATTTATTTTCTTTTATCCAGTGGTTTATAAGAAGAGGGTACTATCTGGAATTAGTGAACCGATACTTAAAATTAAAATAAACTAAGCATTACTTATACTTCATATATATTTTTTTATTATAATAAATATAAACATACAATACATTTAATGGAAATATTAATGAAGGAAGTTATTTATAATAAATATTCTTTCTTCCTCTTATTTAAAACATTCTGCATGATAATAATCTCGTTTTTATCTAAGCTTAGTGATTTCAGTCAAATTCAAATCTAGAACCTATAAAACTTAACCTATTTTTTCAGGGTGCCTTAAGCGGATGTCTACTTAGTCTAGTACTCTGTGGCTGGCTGCTTATTGGCGCCGAGAACGCTTTGGCTACGGGTGCATTGACCTTTCAGGGGAAGCCCCTCGTTACTATGGGATGCGGTAAAGCCAACTTCACACATCTGGTAAACGTGACAACAATATTACCGAACGCTGTGTGAGTATGAACTAATAGACTAGAATGTAATTATGTTAGACTAATTGCTCGATTTGTATTACAGTGGATGGGTACGTGAGTTAAATGGTCGTGAGTGACTGGCTTTACAGTGTTTTGCATGATTATTGGAAAATATTTCACATCATTTGGTTTTACTTATCTATATTGCACCATAGATATAGTTATACATATTAAATTTACTTTCTAAGTTTCTCAAAATAATAAAAGTTACCCACACAACTCGACTGTGAAGTTATTAACGACCAGATTGTACCTATAATATTTTATCTTTTCTGGTATCTGACACAATTTTCAAATTAGATGCTGCTGAATTCCTATAGGCACAATTTTTATGCTTTTGTATGACTAACTAAAATTATATAATATAAAAATTGTAGTTTATTAACGCACATATAAGTAGAATTATTTTTTGCCAATTTTGGTTTATTAGGGATATTATGGTCTAAACTTCAAAATGTAATCAAAAATAATTATTCAATCCTGAGGTCGTAGTGGGTACAGCCTTTGTTTTAAAATGAGGGGGTTTAGGAAATATCACCATACTAGTCAAATACAAGTTAACGAACTTCAAACGTTTTTGAAAACCTAGTTAGTTGCTAGTTCCCTCAGACATTATGGATTTTTTCCTTCACTTTTGGATTTAGGCGCCTTTTGTTCTGTTTCCATAGCGAGCGACCATTGCCATGAAAAAACGAATAAATCGAATCATAATATACGAATAAATCGAATCAAATAGACTTTTACAAGCACTTTTGAATCGTCATTGTAACTTTTTAAATTTAAATTAAACGTTAGTGTAGTCAGTCCGTGAGGAATCTACCACCGGCTTGGAAGGCAGTTCTGCTGAAAGAGCCGACGAGAAACTCAACAGTTGCTCTTTTTATAAATATAACTAGCGACTCACTCTCGCTTCGCTCGGGTTCGTCCCTAGGTACGTTTTAAGGGTTAGTATGAAATACAAATCTTTGAATTTCTCGGTTATTCTGTACTATAATATGCATGTATTATACATATAAACCTTCCTCTTGAATCACTCTATCTATTAAAAACTATCTATTAAAAACCGCATTAAAATCCGTTGCGTAGTTTTAAAGATCTAAGCATACATAGGGACAGACAGACAGCGAGAAGCGAATTTGTTTTATACTATGTAGTGATTACAATTTACAATATATCAATATATATATACAATAATTATAATGTTCTTACCCTGATACTGATAGATTATATTATTTTAGTGCAATATAAACATGAAGTAAACAAACAAAATTACCATTATAACCGCAGTGCGTCGGCACGTTAAAGATCCCGGAAAGTTTTAATCTTAGTTTGCCAACTTTGGTGATATCGACTTGAGGCTAAGTTTTATTTCCCTCTTATTAAAACTTTCGCCATATTACTATTACCCGATTCGTACAGTTTTATGACTTTTTCTAGTCTCTTTTACTAGTCGGATGACTTTAGGATTGCTAACTATTCTTTGACTCTTGGCTGAGTTTGGGTTTAACTTCCAGGATATTCCAGCGAACTTCTAAAAAATATTGAAATAATTATTTAATATGTATGTTTATATGTTGAGATATTTTATAGAAATTAACAATTCTTTAGTATTTTTTTTTATTTTTAAAGAGAAAAGAAATACAACAATAAAAACAAAGAAATTTACATTAAATTATAATTTTCAGCAAGCAACTACCTACAAAGCCACTTCAGTCACTCTTTCGCATCTCCTTCACTTACTGCCCTTTTGCCGGAGCTGTCGCTGTTCTCCTCATCGGAGTACCTATGAGCTATCTGACTGGGAAATCGAAGACTGACTCAATGAATCCAGATGTTTTTTGTCCCATAACCCAAAGTTTTCTACATAGGCTACCAGATAGAAGTGCTACAGTTTCTGTGGAACTGAGAGCACCTAACACTCAAGAGGTCTATATGGCTTTAGATGAAGCATTAAAACATTTAAAAGAAGTAATAGATCGGTAATAAAAACTGTGATAAATAAACTGACTTTACATTATAAATACAGTTAAATATATCCCATATCATATCTCATAATTAAAATGCTAATGCATCTGTTTGTTCGCAAATCTCTTAAACAGCAGAACCTTTACGCGAGCACTTTACGCTGTTCGCCATTCAAACTCACTAAATATTTTTAAGCGTCGTCTAACTAATTATTATGTCTTTTTAGTTATTGAGTATATATGTATATACTATATATTTATGTGTATTTACGTATCTATATGTATGTATTTATGTATATGTATACGCATATATTATATCTGTATATATTTTTGTCTTAGTAGTTCTTTGTAGTTTATCTTGTCTGTATTTAGTGTTAATTGCACCTTCCCGTCTACGATTCCACTAATCCTTTCACCAAAGGTTGTCTGTAAGAGATTGCTCGTAGCAATAAGACCGCCTTTGCATGCCTATTTGTTATTTTTTTTTCTTTTCATCTTCTGTACTCTTCTTTGGTGTGTGCAATAATCTATCTATCTATCTATCTTTACTCGCGTACAACTCGGACTCGAACTCAGAATTTATTGGCCTAATGATACAGGCTTATTTCTTATTCGGGGAAAAGGCTACACCCATGAGTAGGTTATAATCGGAATAAAATATTGCCAGTTTAATCTATTTTAACAAAACTTTAATCAACTTAACATAAAAATCATTTATATGCCGGCCATAATGAACATTTTACAACACAGAGAAGTAATTGTAGCGTGAAAATACCAAATGAGTTCTCATAAAGATTATTGTGAAATTGGAGCATTACCGTCGACTGCTATATAATATATGGACGAATTGAAATTGTTAAATGAAATCCCTAAGGTGTGGCTATGAATGATTATATAATTTATACAAAATATAATATCAAATGTGTTCAGAAACATGATGCGTTCTCATTAATGTTAATCTTCTATAATATAAAAATGAATCGCCGAATGTGTTGGTAAGCGCAAATCTCGAAAGCAGCTGAACCGATAACGCTAATTCTTTTTTTAGAATATTCCTTGAAGTACGAGGATGGTTCTTACGGAGAGAAAAATTTAACAAATTGCCTGAAAAAGTATAAAAACAACACTTTTCTATAGTCTCATACAAAAGATTCGTAATAATACTTAAAAGTCAATTTGAACTTTAATACTATACCATAAAGTTTAAGTTTTAGTAGAGACGTTTCGGGATGGCAAAATAATTGAGTGACGTTAGTAACGTATAAATATTAATGTCAATATTTGTCAAAATTATTACCGAAAAAAATTAAAATGTATATGGCTAATGCTGGCTAATAACTATTTATATCTATTTAAAACGTACCTAGCGACGAACCCGAGCGAAGCGAGGGCGAGCCGCTAGTATGTGATAATTATATGAAGTTAATAAAACATATCAAAAAAAAAATTATATATACCTACTCTATTTTTTATATGGTTCCTTTTTAACCGACTTCCAAAAAGGAGGTTCTCAATTCGTCGAAATCTTTTTTTTATGTATGTTCCCCGAATACTCGAAGACGCCTGAACCGATTTGGAAAATATTTTTTTGTTTCAAAGGGTATTCTTCCCAGGTATCGAAATCGGTTGAGCGATTTTTTCAAAAATCAACAATAAATAAATTATTTTTTTAAATAAATTCTTTAATAGAATATGTTATTAAAAAACTTTCGTCTTACAAATTTCCTGCTTATTAGGTACGTCTACACTAAAAATGGCAAAATAAAAATATAAATAAATAAATAAATATATATATATATATATATATATATATATATATATATATATATATATATTTAAAGTTTTTATTGTATAATTATTATTCGGTTCGAGTGTGATTCGAACTTGCACGATGCCGTACTCCTTATATATTAGGAATTCAAAACTTACGGGGTTTTCTTAAATTTTCTTATTAACTGATGCTTTTTATTTCTTATTTTTCAAAAGCTACTGACTGACCCAGGAAATCGAAAGTAACAGTAAAAAGATATAAAAGGTATAAAATGTTGGTAACGGAACGGATATAAAATGTTCAAATAGGTACACGTAACATCATGTTGTCCTTTTTACGCTTAAACCACTGAACAGATTTCGGTAAAAATTTTCAAGGATATAGATTGCATCCTTGGATCAGACACACGCTACCCTTGTACCCCGCCCCGTTTATTAAGCGAGTGAAGCCGCGGGTAAAAATTAATTATTTATAAGTGTACGTAACACTTTCGATATTATTTATATTTTATATAAAGTACTATATTTATATAGTTTATACTATTTACGCTATATGTATGTATACGATGATTGCATCAACTATACTAATACATATATGTATACTCGTATTACTAACGTAATATCGAAAATTTTAACAAACTGCCTGACATCCATTTTTTATCTGATATCTAGAAACCAAATATAACAATATGCCATATTAAAAGCACTTAGGCTAATTTACACAAAAATATAACAAAATTATCTCATAACTCCATACCTTATAATCTCACATCTTTACGGAATGTCACTTGAAATTGGACGTCTTCGGTAAATTTCATCTTCCATTATTCATATGATATAACGATGATATATTACGTGTCATTAAGTCGCTTACCTGATCCGAATTCAGCCTCATAAAGATTACCATTCGTCATTTTTCGCCTCATTCATCTCGTCGGGCTAATCTTTGTAAATAAAATTGATGGATTGTGAAAATAATAAATACTCATTATTTGGTTTTTATTTTGATATACTCGTAAATATACGATGAAGAATGGATCTGCTGTTGTTTCATACAATGTTGGGGTTATTTTAATACTTTCGTAATTAATATTCTGAATGAACTGTTAATCATTGAACATTTTCGATTCCTTCAATAAGGGATGATAAAGCTTATGAATTTTGGTTAACAGATAGTTTTTAAAATATGCTTTTGACATATTTTTTTATTATTTTCCTTTAATACTTAGAATTATATAAAATATTTTCTAATACTTATTTGTGTGCTACTGTATAAATAAATATAAATAAAATATTAGGTAGGTATATGAAAATAGTTCTACTATATAAATAATGATATTTTATTAGGCGAGACAAATCTGGCGTCTCTTTGCCGCCTCAGACAAAGATAAACAAAGGCAAAACATCTGAGAGTGCGTGCTAGGTTTTAGAAAGGCTACATTAATTCCTAGACCGCAGCCTACTGTCTCGAGTACTAATTTTTTTTCGAAACGACATAAGTCCCAAGTCAAAATTTCTCAAATATAGATTCTATTTCACTTATATTAAGGTTAAAAATAGAATTTACAGTAAGTCATAGAATTGCGACTTTATCAGAGCCAAGAGGTGTTTTTGCCAGAAATAAGGGGGATGCTTTGAATCGTAAAGGAAAACATATGTAGCGGTAATGAAGAGAAAAATTGCTTGTATTTTCCTGTTTCAAATCAAGCTTTTATATGCGAATTAGTTAAAAGATGATAATATTAGCAAAGTGATCTAATTTAATAGATATCATAAAACACAATAAATGTCATATCTCTCTAAAACAAGCAAATTTATTTTTGTTGCTTACAAATATTATTAAAATTATTAAAGTATAACAAAATAGACTTTCTATACACCTTACTAATATATATTATACTTATACCATACTAATTATTATATATTATACTTTTTAACGCTTAAACTGCTGAACAGATTTCGATAAGATTTGGCAAAGACGTAAATTGCGTCTTTGGGATGACAGAGGCTATATTTGATCTTCGCCCTCGATATGGCGCGACCGAAACAACGGGCAAAAACTAAAAATATTATAAGATTCATATTTTTTTGCTGTATACTATTACTGCTATACCACGCGAGCATAGACAACAACAAAGAGTTAACTTATTATAAATAAACGTGGAGAACACAAAACAGCCAAAATTTCTACCGAATTCAAAAATTTACACTGACCTGAAAAAATTATATTATTCAGCGCCTTCGTTAAAACATACTAACGTTACGGTTTGGTCTCTGACTTTACAAAAAATATTCAAATTTGTATAGCCAATGCAAATATTCTTTACTCACTTGAATTGAATCCTCACGGGTCAGAACCTCGCATTGGTTATAAAAGTAGACTTCTACCATTTTCCGAGGGCTCTAACCGCGTCATTTTAAAATAATTAATTTTTATACATATTTTCAACCTCTTTAGCAGTTTCCAGAAATTGTTATATCGTCATATCGTGATTAATCAGTTAATGAATAGTTATCCTTCAATATATAATACACTAGCGACTCACCATCGCTTCGCTCGAGTTCGTCCCTAGGTTGCTTCCTTATACAAACTTTCATATCCATTTTCACTTCCTTCCTATCCTATGTCCTTCCCAGGGTCTCAAACTATCTTCTTACTAATTATACGGTACAAACAAACAAAAACATCTTTCCACTTGATAATATTAATGTCTACGACATACGATATCACTACATAGTATAAAACAAAGTCGCTTTCCGCTGTCTGTCTGTCCCTAAGTATGCTTAGAACTTTAAAACTACGCAACGGATTTTGATACAGTTTTTTTTAAAAGATAGAGTGATTCAAGCGGAAAGTTTATATAATGTATAATACATGCATATTATAGTACAGAATAGCCGAGAAATTCTAAGATTTGTATTTCATACTAACCGTTAAAACGTACCTAGGGACGAACCCGAGCGAAGCGAGGGTGAGTCGCTAGTACAATATAAACTATAGATATCGTTACTGTACAACAATGAATATTTTTAGAATTTCATTTAAGGACAAATTGTTCATTAACTAGTCTCAAACTATTAATAGATACATTCAAAAGCCTGCTCAATTATTGTTCCCCCGTTTGTGACAATAAACCAGACAAAACGGTCTTCACTTAACAATTTAGTTTCGCATTACAATCGAGGATCGAAGTGGCGAGACGCATACGTCACATTCTCGTTTGGAATTAATATCCACCGGAAATC